GAGAAATGGGAAAAATGAAAACAAAGTCTTTGTAAATAGGGAAGGGTGGAGGGGGTGAAGGGAGGGCTAGGAATGGGGAAAAAAGAAGAACAAAGATGCATCACGTAAAGGTACAAGTTCCCAATGAGAAATGTAGATGTGATGTATACCTAAAATGTACCAATAAAAGAATTTGAAAAACCAAAAACTAATGTCCTGGTTATAACCCACACTGTTCATATATGAGGCTGGTTGTTACTTGAGGGTCCACTGTATTGTTACCCAGCTGTCCTAACAACTGAGCACTGTCACTGAGCATGCACTCTGCCAAAAGGGCAAAAATATCTTAAAATGGAAAGATTTTCACTCCACTCTCTGAGATACCCTCCTTCTCTGAATATGTTTATAAATAAAATTTGAATTGCATTGTTTCACTGGAATATTTCAATCAATGTGGGGATGTGGAGGGTGGGGTGGGGGAAGGAGAAGAGAATGAAAAAGGGAGGATCTTATTTTGATAAAATTTTCTCACATTATTAGATAATCATTTATAATTTTGGTTTTGAAATATCTTCTGATATCTCTGGTTGTTTCAAAAGATGCCATAAATCTTAATCCCCCCAAGTACTGGTGCATCTCTAGGGGGCTGTTAAAACACCCTCTTTCTCTCATTTTCTCTTTTCAGAATAGCATCATGCCAAACTACAAACTGATTTATTTTAATATGAGAGGAAGAGCAGAAATTATTCGTTACATATTTGCTTATTTGGACATAAAGTATGAAGATCACAGGATAGAACAAGCTGACTGGCCGGAAATCAAATCAAGTAAGTAGCATAAATTCTATTTCATGAATATGTAGGGAAAAATAACCTTTCAGGGCTGGGGATTTAGCTCAGTGGTTCCACTGCCTGCCTTGCAAGTGCAAAGACCCAAGTTCGATCCCTGGTACCAAAAAACAAAAACAAAAACAAAAACAAAAAAACAAACCTTTCAGAGCTGTTTGCCTTTCCTGAGGGAAATGAAAAAGAAAAATAAAGGTTTTTCAGCCTTAGATCGGTTTTCCAGTCTTATATAGCTTTAGACTGAAAAGCAGCAGTTTAGGCAAACTAAATAAGTGCTATGTGACTCAGCAGATTTTCTCTTACAGGTGAAAACACAAACCTCACAGAAAAATAATATAAAAATAAAGCACTATAGACTTTTTCAGAAGAGCTGAAATAGACATGGAACATACTATTGTTTCTATTTTACAATTGGGATAAAATCCACAAGGTTTAGGTCATTTTCCAAGTTGCACAACTGTGGCAAGTAGAATTGAATTTCAAACCAAATCTATTTAATTCCATGACCCAAATGATTGACACTAGACAATGCTAGCAGCATTAATACTGTATATGATAACTGGCATATTGACAATAAATTGCGAAATGCCTTTTGGAAATGTTGAGTTCCTTATATGTCATTTGTACTCTCTCTTGTTTCTTCATTGACTCCAATCAGTCCTATGTTAGTTTTTGCATCATTTTGCACCTGCTGGATTGATTTCTCATGGTCCCTTACTATTTTTAAGAAATTTTTCTTTCCTGGTCACTAATTGCAATCTTGTCTTCTATATGTGATATTCTGACCTCACGTTGGTTCATTTTGCTGCATAAACTTTCAGTGGAGTTTTTAATCTCCGGGATATCTGCTTGTACCTGTTTCCATTTGTTTACTATGCTGGGATTCCATCATTTTTTTTAATCTGTGTCTGCACTGGAGTTATTAATCATGTCTTGCGCTATGGGCACAATCTCTGTTGTTATCTGAGAAATTATTTCTGATTTCATTTTTCCCAGATCCTCTTTCATTGCCAGTTCAGAGAGTCCAGGTGGTTGAGTATCAGATTGTTCCATCTTGTTGCCCTTTGGGGTTGCCTTAGTGATCTGGAAGTCTGGTTTTGAGACTTGTTTACGTGTCTTCTCATTTCAACAGATGCAGCCTGTTGTGCCTTTTTTGAGGTGACTTTTTGCTCACCCAGTGGTCTTCTATTCTCAACAAGCCACCAAGTGGCCTTTCTCAGGTGGTCACCACTACACCAATTCCTAGGTTCAGAATGGTGGCCTTCTGGATCCCTGCATTGCCCTGTTGTCTGGGTGGGGTTCTGGGTGGGACCTGTGCACACTTGGGATGGTATCTGGGTGGGCCTCTGGCTGTTGCTTGTGCATCTGTGAAGCTCTTTTCTAGGAGGGGCTTTGGCTGGGGACTGTGAGCCCAAGGTGCTGGAGTCTGGGCATGGCCCTGGCTGGGACCTCGTGAGTTCCTTATAAATCATTGTCCCTATAATCACTTTTCTTAGCAGAAATCTCTCCTCTGGAGGAAAACATGATCTTATTTCCTATTCTCAGACTACCACTGACAGGCAAATGTTTCTTCTGATATCAGAGTTCACACATGAGATGTTAGGATGGTGGGCACATAATATCAAACATTCGTTTTTATCCACTCATTAGACCAAATGGATAGCAAGTTGCAAGGATATTATATACAACAAATTTTTCCTTTCAGTTTTTAAATTCGGTGTATATAATTTTAGCTTTTCTTTGATGCCTTGGACCATATTTTACCTTGATTTTTCATTATTATTGAAAAATTAAATGTCTGCATTTTCTTAATACTTCAGAGATTCTTAGAGTTGAAAGGGATCTTATCTTTCAAAATGGTTAAGATAATTTTAAATGCTTTAATAAGCAGATCCTCAACATAAAACTGTCTTAAAGATGTTAGCAATTTCTGTGACATAAAACCCCTGCTATTAATGACTTTGCTCCATGAAGTTGTCAAAGTTTAGGCTGCTTTTTTCTTTTTGATCTGCCACCCTTCTTTGTCTTATTTATTCAGGGAGAGACAGTGCTCCTTCTACATTCTAGTTCATAGGAATTGTGAAAGGGGGAGGGGCACAAACCTTTTCTTTTTTTATGAAGACCAGAAAGCTGTATATATCACTTTTGATTCATATTACTTTGGTATAATCTTAGTCATATACTCCATATTACTGCAAGGACAGCTGGGACTTCATTGTGGATAACTATTTGCTCAGATAAAAATTCAGAGTTTTGGGCTGGGGATTTAGCTCAGTGGTGCTGCCACCTGCCTCACAAACACAAGGTCCCAAGTTGATCCCCAGTACCAAAAAAAAAAAAAAAAAATTCAGGGTTTTCTTACTTTGAAAAGCTTTTTCTATTACAAATATTATTTGGTATTATCTATCTCCCTTCCAATTTAGCTGTGCTCACTAGTATTCAAATCCCTCTAGGTCTAGGATATTCCCTTTGCTAGGACCCAGAGCTAAATCCCAAGTCAACACATTTTATCTTTGAGTGTTTCTATTAAACAGTTCTTCATGGCTAAACCTTGTATATTGTGCACATGTATTTATATTTTCTCCTTTAATAACATTCAAGTACTTTTTTATTGAAAGGCAAAGCCCCACAAGGGCAAAGAAACCAAACTAACATAAAACTGTGGAAGCTAGAAAGCAAGTCAAAGAAAGGTAAGATGACACAGCAGGCCTATTGTGATGGTTGATTGTGTCAATCTAAGTAAGAGAAGCTCAACTAAATTGGCTCAGCAATTCCACACCCGAGGGTGTGGAAGACCCACCCTAGGGAAGCTGGTCACTTGGATAGTATAAAGGGGAAATGAAGAAGAATGAATCTGCTTCTGTTTCTTTGGAGGAGCTCCAGTCTTTCTTTTCACCATGAGCATCATCTCCTGGTTTCCAGCACAGATTCTTCAGCTGCTAGTGCAGATCCTTCAGCCTTCCAGCATAGACCCATCAGCCTCCTGATACAGACTTGCATGGAACAATGCAATGAGCTCCAGACTTTTGACTGGATCCTTCAGATCTCCAGTGTGCAGACAGATCTTCTGCACTCTTCTACATTGAACTCTGTGGGTGGTCACTGTAAGCCAATCTTATAGATTCTATATACTTGTATATCTTGTATTGTATTTGTTTCCCTATCACACCCATCAATCTCAAACATAAGCTTGGAGGAGAAAATGCAAGCTGAATCTTTCCAGTGAGGCTTGAAAAGGCTCAGGAATTAGGATCAAAGGTATCTCTGAATGCTGAGCTGAGAGGAATCGACTGTAGGAAGAATATGAAGAAGCAATGTGACCACCAGATCTTATCCCCTTCCTGGATGAAGAATGGAGAGGATGGATCAAAATATTCTGGGACAACTGGCATGGTGGAGGACAAATGCTGTAATACAGATGGGATTCAGTGGGCTGAAGATGTATCTCAGTGATTGAGCACTTGCCTAGCATATGTGAGGCTGTGGGTTCCATTTCCAGCACCGCAAAAATAAAATAAAATAGAAATGGGATTTAGTGGAAGTCTACAAAGTGGTGAGATCCATACTGCCTTTCCCTCATTCTAAAACTATTATGTTGTAAACAGGATAGTATCCCTCAGGCAAAAACTGAAGGAATTCTCTCTGGAGAACCTGACCAGCCCAAGAGAAATGCCCAGAAGATACTGAATCAGTGGAGGAGGGTGTCTCTCAATGAAATAGCCCATTTCTCTGTTGATAAACCTCTCCTGCTTACATTGAACATCCAAGTAAGCATTTATTTCTTTGCCTTTTAAGCAAGAATGTCAAGACAAAACCATTATATATTTAAGGATAGTTTCCAATATGAAATAAAAAAACAGGAAAAAAAGCACTTCTGGAGAAACTAAGATGATTTAATGAAAAAAATCTTAGAAAATATTGTAAAATTCTCAGAGAGAAAAGAAGATATTCTATCCCTGAAACAAGAGCAGGATTCTATAAAAATGAATGTATGCAAGCACATTTTTTAAAAAAAATTAAAAGTATGATACAAATAAAATGATAAGTATAATAGTGAAAATAAGGAAATTCCCCCAGAAAGTACAAAGGAAATAGAAAAATAAAAGAAGAAAGATAATTAAAATCAAGAATCAATCAGTTTAAGAGGTCCAATTTCCAAATCAAAGTCTGGGAATAGAAAACACAAAATGGAAGAGAGACAAACTTTTAAAGGAATTTTTCTCATACAACATTGAAATCTGGGGCTAAGGATGTAGTTTAGTGGTAGAGTGCTTGCCTACCATGCACAAAGCACTGAGTTTGATCGGCAGCATTGGAAAAAAAGTTAAATCTACCATCTTATGGCTTTCATATATTGCTTTTAGATGTATCATTTCAATTAATGGAGAATAGATTATTCCTTCTTTTCCATCTAAATATCTGAGGAAATGCAATTCCTTACAGACATCATAGGAGAAAAGACACTGCAGAGTGGTCAGTTCAATAAAAACATTCTGAATGAAAATGAAGATCTTTGGCAGAATTCTGAATTGGATGTCCAGATAGCTTATGCATCTGTACTTCTACTTAGATAACAGCTTTTGGAACTTCCTGTTTTGATCATGATTGTGAATTTCAGTCCAACCTTCCCACACTGATTCTACTTCACGATTTAGGTACTGTGTCTCATGGACTATCTGAGATCTACAATCACATCCAGAGGAAAGGGACAACTCTCCTTTCTCAAGAGTTCCATTTATATCCCCTGGTTTGCTCTTCTTAGTGTCCAAAGAGGTGTTCTCTGAAGAAGCTCCTGCTGCCTTAAGTCTGCCACATAGTTAGTTTGTGGTGCCTGTCAGAAAGTATAATGTTTCATGCACAAGGACAGCACAGAGTGGAACAGGACCATTACCCCACTGCTAATAGTTGGGATTCTCTATGGGAACAGAACCAATAGAATGTATATATGAGGGGATTTACTAGACTGATTTACGTGATCAGATGCTGGGGCCACAATGGCTGTCTGTAAGCTGAAGCACCAGGGAAACCAGCAGCCATTCAGTCAAAGAAGCTGGCAGCCTCAGAATATGAGAGAACAAGTATGCAGCCCCAGTTGCAGGCTGAAGGCCTGAACACCCCTTGGAGAGTCACTGGTGGGAGTCCACATCTAACACTGAAGAATCAGGAGTTTGACATTCTTAGGTAATGGTAGCACAAAAAAACACATTGGCTCAAGAAGAACCAAGCTTGTGTGAATTTGTGTGCTTCTCCCTTCTTCCACTGTTCATATGGTCCAGATCCCCAGGCTTTGGGTGGTGCCACCCACACTCAGGGCAGGTAGTCTTTCTTCCCTCGGCTGCCCTACCTGCCATCCAGTTCTAGAAACACCCTCAAAACACATCCAGAACTTTGCCTTACCAGCCTACTAGCCTCTCTTGATCCAGTCACGTTAATGATTTGGTTTAACAATCACAACCCCTATGGCAAGTCTAGACATTCTTCCAAGATATTATACCAGGACCACACCAGTTATTTTGAATCTGTGACCTCAGATTCAGTGTCACTGAATTGCTTGAAGCTTTCTGACAGATGCTCTTGTTAGGTTACACCTCCAAACACATTGGAACTGTTATCATTTTTTTTTTCTGGAAACAAATGAGGAATTTAGAATTTGTCTTCTTCAATTTCTTCTTGTTGAGTGCAGATGATGTTTCATCTATTGGCAATTAACTCAGTGTTGAGCCAAACCTTTCCCTGGCTGAGAGCTTACCATCTCATAAGAAAATACATTCCACCCTTATAATTTCTTCTTAAAGTTTTATAGTTTTAGTCTTTCATATTTAGGTTCATAGATCCTTTCAAGTTATTTTTATTTATGGAAATAAAAGGTCGAGGTTAATTTTTTATATAGAGATACCAGGCGTTCTAGTGCCATTTGCTGAAAACAGCATCTTTCCCTTGGCTCTTGAATTGAGTTTATATTCTATAAAATGTTAATGTTAAATAATCTTTCAAAATTCAATGGACCATATATGTGTGGTTCTATTTCTAGATTCTCTGTTTTATTCCAATGATCTATATGTCTGTCCTTACGCCAAAACTGCCTTGATTACTGTAGCTTTAGAGGAAGTCTTAAAATTAAGTACTAAACGTCTTCCAACACTTTTTTTTCCTTTTTCTTTTTACTTCTCTAGGTCCTTTGTACTCCTACATAACTTTTAAATTTCAATATCCAATTCTTCATTTATAGCAAGTATACATAGACCTGAATTTTTATATATACCTTGTGTTTTCTAATCCTGCTAAATTCAAATACAAGTTCTAGGGGCTCCTAGAGATTTCTTAGTATTTTCTCTGTAGATGATCATTTCATCTACATATGAAGATTTTGCTTCTACTTTGCCAATCCTATCCAAGTTGTGTCATTTTATTGCCAGACTATTTTGGTTTAGGCCTATGTTTCAAAGTTTAATAGACATCTGCCCTTGTTCCCCACCTTAGGGAGAAAGCATTGTATCTTCTCCATTCATATAAGGCATTTTTGCTGAAAGTACCGAGTACATATCTTTAATCTGTTGAGAAGGTTCTGCTCTACTTCTAGTCTCCTGATAGCTTTTACCATGAATAGCTGTAGAATTTAGTTCGATACTTTTTCTCCAACTACTGACAGGATCACATGGCTTTTTCCTTTCCTCTGTTGAAATGGTGACTTTTGGGGGTGGATCTTCCAATGCTGAACCAACATTGCCATCCCTGTAATAAAACCACTTTCTACATACTGCCAAATCTGACTTCTAATAGTTTGTTTTCTTAAACAAATTTCTATTTATGTTCATACTTTTTTCTATTATCTTTATCCAGTTTTAGGACTAGCACAATGTTGATTTCCTAAAATGAGGGGAGAAGTGTTCCTTTTTTTCCTGCTTTAAATGTTTGATATAATTTATCAGTTAAAATGTATACTAGCTGGTTGTTGTCATATAGGTAGGTTTTCAAGCTAGGAATATACTTTTGTTTGTTTTTTTTTTTTTGGTACTGGGGATCAAACTCAGGACCTTGCACTTGTGAGGTAGGCGCCTGAACCACTGAGCTCAATCCCGGCCCATAGGAATATACTTTCTTTAATAGGTGCTATTCTAATTTTACATTTCCTCCAGAGTCAGTTTCATTAATTTGGCTTCCAAGGTACTTCTTAGAAGTTGTCAAATTTATTTCAAAACAGATTTTTGTAGTATGCTTTCTGTATCCTTTTAAATTCTGTAAAACCTGTGGTAATGTCTCCTAGATCTTGATATTTTAATTTTAAAAATGTATAATTGATATTGTGTAATAGGAAGTAAAGGTCTAAAGGAGCAGGGGAAGTGGGAGGGGTAGGAGAAAGGAAAGAAGGGAAAAGAAAAAATATGAGAAAAGGAAAAAAATGGAAACAAAGTTTTGCAAATAGGGAAGGGCGGAGGGGGTGAAGGGAGGGCAGGAGAAGGGGAAAAAATAAGAACCAAGATACTCATGTAATGGTACAAGATCCAGTGATGTATGTAAATGTATTTTATACCTAAAATGTACCAATAAACTTAATGAGGAAAAAAATAGAAAACACATTCCATGGTCAATAGTTCTAATATTAACAAATTTAGTCTTCACTGTGAGTTAAAAATCTGCATTTTCCCCTATTACTTTTTTTTTCCTGTTCTGAATTTTAGATCTAGTAAGAATAAGTGAAATTTGTCTTCCATTTAATGGCTCTGCCATATTTGAAGATGGATATTAACTTTCACTTAGTTTCTTTTGTCTCCTGCAGGTGAAATGAGTCAAGGTTCTCCAACTAATTCTCATAAAATGTGGTTTCCAAACCCCTCTCTAATTTGGATACTATTCGCTAGGCTTGATTTTTAATATTCTTCTCAATATATGGCTCTCAGATCTATTAAAATAACCAAGTATGTGTTCCAGCCAACCTTGGTTTGAATCTTACCTCTACCAGGTGTAAGACCTTGGCAATTTACATAAAGTCTCTTAACATTATTTTCTCATTTATAAAATGTGAAAATTAATGGTTAATACCTACCTTATGTGACTGCATTAAAAAAAACTAATAAGCATATTAAATATTTAGTACCATCCCTAGAACAAAGGAAGCCCTCCCCCACCCCTCCAAAGAGAAGCATACTAATGCCCTCTTGTTCAAATAAGGCATCCCAGTTTCTGTCAGCTTTATTTGGGACTCTTCATTAGTCCCTATGGTATTTCAGCCATCTATAATTGTAGTTGACACACTCATTAGGTAAATAGTCAAAGATGCTTTTAGTCATGTGTGGTGATATACCTGTGATCCTAGCTACTTGGGAGGCTGAGGCCGGAGGACTGAAAGTTCAAGGCCAGCCTGGATAATTTCATGACTTAGTGAGACCTTATTTCAAAATATAACACAAAAAATGCTGTGGTTGTAGCTCAGTGGCAGAGTATCTGCAGAGCATGTATAAAGCCTTTGGTTCAGTTCTAAGTATTGTCAAAAAATTGTTTTTTATTCCTGATATAAACTATCATTCATCTTATATTTACTCAATATACAAATGAAAGACTTAAATGCCACATGCAAAATTGATTCCAGCACTTGTGTGTGGGTCCTGAATGGCACTTTATTCCTTTCCTTCTTTCCTAAATAATTTCTGGTTGGGAAAATTGTGATCAATACACACAGCAAAATTCCAGTCATTAAAATGGTAGTGTTTCATTGATTTAAAAAGGTTTTTTTTTTGGTACCAGGGATCGAACTCAGGACCTTGCACTTGTGAGACAGGCATTGGAACCACTGAGTTAAATCCCCGGCCCTTAGAAAGATTTTTAAAAGGGACTGTTAAGTGAGAAAAGGTAGTTTACAAAATATATACATTATGATATATTTTTTAATA